CTCTCACTCACTCAAATAAATAAATAAATCTTTAAAAAAAAAAGCCAAAAGGAAAAAATCAAAGACCATCTTGTGATATCTGATTGATAGATTCCTATCGATCAGATTACCATTTCTTGAATTCCAATAAGCTTATATACCAATTACCTAAAATAAATGGCTGCAATTATTATGATTCATTTACAAGCATCTTTCGAGCTTTTTGTTTATAATAGACAAGGGGATTCAATGATCAAAAGATACTGAGAAGACAATGTAGTAACTGATGAACTTACTGACAGCTACTGGAATTTCCTTTACACAGCACTATAGTCTGAATGTTTGTGTCCCCCCAGAATCCATATAATGAGATCTAACCCCTAAGGGGATGGCGTTAAGACGTGGGGCCTTTGGGAGGTGATTAGGACATATGGGCGAAGCTCTCAGGTATGGGATTAGTACCCTTATAAAAGAGGCCCAAGGGCACCTGAGCCCCTCCTGCCATGTGAAGACACTGCAAAAGGTATTTTTTCTGAACCAGGAAGTGGGTTCTCACCAGACCAGGTCTGCTGGCACCCTGATATTGGACCTCAGCCTCCAGAACTGTGAGAAATAAATTTTTGTTGTATATAAGCCACCCAATCTGTGGTATTTTGTTACAGCCACCCAAACAGAGGAAAGCAGCAGTTATGATGTCTGTTCTCACAGTTTACCAGTCTAAATCAGTTTATGAGTACCTTTACTTTCAGCGACTCCTAGTGTGTCCTGTATTAGGAAGACAATAATCTGTTTGCTCATTCTAGCACGCTAGCAGTGGTGGATTTTACAAAATGCATGATATACGTGACGTGTCTGCAAGATAAAAATATAACATCTTTGAGTGAGTTTCTCCTCTGCCACTAATGGATGCCGCTATTTTGTATGGATCTACAATATTGAGGAGTAGATACCATGCGGATGTGCATACCTTTTCTACTTAAAGAGCAACTGAGTTTATCGTTGCTCTATTTCAGTGGGGAAGGGGAGGTCATTGGGAAGTGCCTTATCTGTGATTTTTATGGTATAAATTGCCTGCTTAGGCACTAGCTATTCTAAGATTTGCTGTTGTTTGTATTTCTAAGCAAGGATTCAGTAATCACAGATTTAGAAGATTTAACAGCTCAAGACAGCCAGATTAGCTGTTCCAAAAAAGGAGTCAGGAGATATACGAGTGTATCTTTTGTAGCAAATCTTGTACCTTTTGGGTTTATTTCAATCACTTAAAAAATAGTCATATGCTAAACGATCTCTGGGAGTAGCTGCTCAGCAGGGTGAGTGAATAACCCACAGAAAAATCCCAACATCCAGTGCCTGGACTGGGGCAAGAGGAAAAGATCCTCATACCCTGCAAAAGCTCCCTTCAGATATGGAGAAAAGGAACGTGATTATAACCTTTAGCTAGAAGATGCCCTCTTTCCTTCTTTGGGGGCCCTTAATCGAGGCCCAGATAAATAATGCATCACTGAAATGAAGACAAGGCAAGCATTTCCTTGACCTCCCAGCCTTGCTGGTGAAAGTGCCTGATCACACGGTGAGCAGAAGCCCCCTGAAAGGTGTGAGGAGGAGGCAAGGTTGCAGCAACCTTTTACTGAAGCTTCAATGCCCCTGACTAAAGAATGGAGTTGAAATGGTTAGAAAGGGTCTGCTCACCAGTGGGCTGCTTAGGAGCCTCAACAGTCATCTGGGGAAACTACAGCTTCCTGCAAAATATTTTCTATGTGGTGCAGGATCCAATATGTTGATTTCCTTATCTGGGCCTAAAAACCTCAACAACAATAACAAAAGCACTGTATAATGAACTCTTGGTTAGGGCTTAAAGCACACCCAAAGGCCACTGAGCAAGGAGGCCGAGTGGTAGGAGGAACACGTGAGAAGGGCATGTGGCCTCCACCCTCCAGCGCCATCTCTGGACAGCCCATGTAACAGCAGGCACATGCTCACGGTTCATTTGTCACTGTTCTGTTGTCAAAAAGCCGGGAGTCACCAGTCCCCATCCCGGGGATACACCCACAAGCTGCCTGAAGGCAATCTGAAAAGCCATCCCTGCCTTATGCGTCGCTTGCTCTCTACTCATTTACTCAATGCACTCAACCTATTAATTTTTTAAGCAATTCTATTTCCTCAATCCAAAAAGAAAATCACCTTTAAAATCTTCACTGGGTGTTGGATTTTTGGAGTTGTTACGAGAGTTGTTACACGACCAAAACAAACAAAAAAAGAGGTGAGATGAGTGATCTCAAGGATAATGTCCTGTTGATAGCACGTGGACCCCGATGCCACAGTGAGGGTAAAATGGTAGCAGCATGGGCTGCCCAGTCCACCTGGCAGAGCATCATGCCGCAGGAAGGCTCGGAGGAAAGTGGTTCATTCTCAGACGCTTATCAAGCCTTGGTCTCTGCCAAGGCTGTCAAAGCACTCTACTCTAACAAACCTCTCACGGGGGCAGATTTCTCTTATGAGCAGAAATGCTTCTAAAGACTCCTGGGGTCCATGAGGAAGCATCTTTGTTCCTACTGGGAACCCAAGCAACAAGTCTTTATATTCTTTCCACTCTGTCTTCCAATGCCTCTGCAGCTTTTCACCACTATGAAGAGAACATGCCACAAGAGAGGAAATGCCACAACAGCAAATCGAATGCTAACACACACACACACACACACACATAAAGCTGAATAAAACCATCAGCAGAATGACTGCAGGAAAACAATACAAAGCAGAAAACTTTCAGATGATATTCCCTGGACAAATCACTCACTTGAAAATTCTTTCTCAGTATATGTACATCCCTTTAGTGTTTTAATATAATCTTCTGTGGTACAGTGGTTAAGAGCAATGAGCTCTGGAGAGAGACAGGTTCAAATCCCAACTCTGCCATTTATATCTGTGTGGTCTTGGACATGTTTTGTTTTTTTTTAACAAGTTCTGTGCCTTAGCATCCTCCTCTGTTCCTCTGTTAAACAGAGATAGTAATCGAGCTGTTATGAGGATTAAACATGTTAATACATGCAAGACACTTAGAATAATGCAAATAAAGCTGTGATCATTATTATAGTTCAAAATTGCTTTCAAGTGTATTATTATAGTTGTCCCCACAAGCACTCTATGAAACAGAAGTGATCATTTTATCTGTGTTTTACTGATGAGTCTGAGGCTCAGTGAAGTGATCTGCTAAAAACATAAATAATCTGGCCAAACCAAGACTTGAATTGTGGTCTTTTGACAATAACCCTTGGATTCTTTTCCATTACATTGTATTATTTACATGTAAACAACAGCAAAACAGCTATTATAAAATACAGACATTAGATTAAATTCCTAAAAAGAAGAAAACTATTGAGAACATCATAGTACCTAATCTAGGAATTCATTCTTGGAATAAACAAATGATGAGTTGATGGCAGAATTTAGCTAACATAACTAAAGCTCATTTTTAGATTCAGTGTGCAGCAATTTGGAACCCCCAAAATTATGAAGTGGGGGGGGAAGATATATCAATTTGTATTCGTTGTTGTAAATTTTACTTTTTGTGAAAATAGGTAAGCTGTCATCTTGAGAAAATCCAATATACAAAACTGCAGAACTACAAGATGGTTGAGTGACTTATTACAAAAGGAGCCACTGAAGGGCTCAAATGTTTAAATGTGAGCCTTGCCATCTTATGTTGCTATAATTCGTAAGCTAGCAATGAACCTTTTGATCAATGACAGTCAGGCTACACCCTCTTAGATCTAGAAGATTGAGAATTTTATCCCTCAGAATTCTTCTCCACATGACACTTGGAGGAGACAAGTTTTATGAGACAAGCAGAAGATTGGTGAATATAAATGAACAACTGGCAGATATTCCTTCTTTCCTAATGAATTTTGTAATTTAGAGCATTTGAATGGATCCCTAGAGGAGGAATTCTTTCATGACTAACACTCTTTCTAGTAATTGCATCTATTTCTAATTCATAAAATTTGAATGTGTGTTAGCCTTCAAGAACTTGTCTTCTATTTAATAAAGATTAACCATTAATTTTTTTAAAGATTAACCTTTTAATTTATGAATCTAGTTTTGATTTTTAATATGCACTCTACCTACAAATTATCTCTCAAAATAATTTTTAAAAACCATGTGGACAGATGCACATTAAAAACTAAATTTCAAGGAAGGATTGTACGCTAAAAATTATCATCTTAAATAAAAAGACACATAAACTCTGAGTGACCAGCAAATTGCACTGTACATATATCAGTATATATCAGTGATATATATATTCAGCTCACTATCAGGGCTCTGTCCAGCCTTTACAAAAGTCCACACAAGACTTCCCTTTAAGTTTACCTGAGCAACTCACATTTAATGTCCTCTCATCCAACTCAACCAATGTCCATTCCGTAGCTAAAGAAACACCCCCCTCTTCACTGTTAATTGTGAAATTATGTTTTCAATACAAGTTGTATAATATTCTAGAAATATGCCTCCTACAGCCATTCAGATGGAAATATTTCATCCCTTTGATATGTACTTAAAAATCTATAAAATTTAAATAAATCTCACTAGTGAACACTACTGAGACATAAAATATTATTTAGGCCAAAGAAAGGAAATTAGATTTTTCTCTAATGGTCAGAGTTTACATCTCAGTCATGCTTAAGGCTATAAGACATTACCACATAAAAAATTGAAAACAGATGGCAAAAAAGCACTTTTATGTTAAACAATTAATAACTGAAAATACAGAAATCTGTGAGTAATCATTTAAGCTTCAGAGAGAGGTATTTTACTTTATTCCTATGGTTAATCCTGTCTACCTCTATCTTTGCTCTCGTTTGAGGCCAACAGCTATGTACTGGTTGACCACATGACCCAAATCTCTCAACTTCAGCAAAATGCGTGTTTCACATTCCCTCCTCCACCACCCCCACATGCCACATAGATGCCCCAACTCCCTGGTTCTTTCCTATAAAGTCAAAGTCATACCACAACACCTCTCTTACCTGTTTCCCATCCAGGGTATACAGGCGTTTCACCACTCCCGAGTCCAGCTTGATGGCATCAGTTATATCAGTGAGAACCTGCTCAAAGGAATGGGCGGTTTTCTTGTTCAGCAGAATCCTGACAGCTTTCCGTGGCTTCACCCCACTTCGGATGATGGTGACCAGCTTGGGCCGAATGAAATCCTTATTCTCCCGTACCTCTGAAGGGCTCCCTTTGGCAGTGGCCAGTGAGGACACCGCCCGGGAAGCCGAGGTGGTCTTGACATTCACGGACCAGTTGGGGTTCACGTTCTTGGTGTACTCTAGTTTCTTGAAGGGCTCTATTGAGCCACACACATAGCTCTCTCCTAAGGAAGAGAGAAATATATTTAAATTTACACTAAGGTAAACCTTGTTTCCTTTTCCCTAGTCTTTGATTTTTCCTTTTCTACCAGAAGTGAGAGCGAGTTATGACTTCTTAAACAATGGAAGCATGATTAACATTTAATGAAAAGAAAGATTTTTTTACTTCTAATCTGGCTCGGTCAACAACAGATTGATATCCTAGAGGGGGAAAATGATCATTCTTTCCTTTCTTCGTTTTCCGACTGCTTTTTTCTGACAGAAATACTGATACTCAGGAATAAAATTGAATTTAAAAAAGAAACTATTCTTTGGGATTTGGGGGTATTTATAAAATCAGAGGTACCTACATTTAGTAATGATGTAAATAACATAATCTGAACACTTAAAGTGGATCAGAAAACAGCTTCTTATAGAAATTCTGTCCTTCACTGTAGCTAGAGTTGTGCTGAGCACAGCATAACAAAGGTATAGAGAAACTGAATCACTATGTTGTACACCTGAAAGTAATGTAACATTGTGTCAACTATACTCAGATTAAAAACAACAACAACAAAAAACAACTAAGTAATTTATACCTTTGATGGGAGTGTGTGCTGAACATTTTGTAAAGTCAAGTAAAATTCCAAAAGCAAGCAAAATAACTGTCACCAGCTAGACCCCAAGACCTGACCTTTGCTGATCACCTGCTTGGACCCACCAACCTCTGTCCCACAGTTTTCCTGAAGCTCTTCTTTCCAGCTTATCTTTTAATCAGGCAAAAGTCCCAAGGGGCATAGCATCCCCTGAAGGAAACCAAAACTACCCCTCAAGCAATAATGACTTCCTGGAGGAAGGCTCTGGCCACCCAAACCACCCAGACCAGCTGGGGTTTTAATTGCTAAATCAGGGCCCCGCAGATGGACCATGGTGAGGCCAACAGTTACCTTTCCCTCACTGCAATGCTAAAAATCACACCCCGAGGTGGAGACTTAACACGCAAAGGAAACAGGATGTTTGGAGCAGCATGTCTGTCAACTGCGCCTGCGCGCCCAATTCCCGTATTTCCCGCCCTACACGCTTAAACAGGGCTCCTTTCCTGCCTGGGCTCCTTTAAAACTCTCTCTGGCTGTTGTTCCGGGAGTCAGTCTGACATCTTCAGCTGCAGCTGTTACCCCAATAACGCTTGGCCTGTGCTTTTAAATACTGGGTCCAGCCTCGTTTCTACCGTTGCTGGGTCCAAGGACCCGGGTCGCATTAACAACCACGCTGCCTTTCCTCCCATCTACACGGGGCCAAGCACAGGGATCCCCATACACTAGGAAGCCAATTCATATTTGTTTTCAGATAAAAGATTTTGAGAATGGTTAACTTATAAACTGTAGCTTCAGAAACTGACTCTAAAATCAATGTAATTACGTAAGATGAATAGGTCCGAGGATCTAATGAATAACATGGTGACTATATACTGTGGTATAACTGAAATTGGCTGACAGAACTTAGATAAAAAAGATAAATACATGAGGTAATGAATGTGTTAATTAATGATGGAGGGAATCTTTCACAATATATACATATATCAAATCGTCATGAGGTATGCTTTAAATATCTTACAATTTTGTCAGTTATACCCCAGTAAAGCTGGGGTTAAGAAAAAAGGAAAAGATATCAATCAATTAAATTAGATTTTATTCAAAATGACTCCTTAACACAGAATCGTTTAATGAAAAAACTCAGACCATAAGTAGATGTGGCTCACACAAAAAGAAAGTAACACATGTACCAAGTGATGATAAATCATAAAACGAATGATCCCATACATATATATTTCATAAAGTTAGGTCAATGCATTTTGAAGTTAAAGATTTTATAATAGCTCTTTTTATGTTAGTCTTTGTAACAGGGAATAGTTAAAATGCTAAAAAGCTTTCATAATTGCAGGTGAAGTGACCTAGGACTAATCCTACACAGCCCATTTACTTTTATCTAAATCCTTGTCCTATTTTTAAATTAATAGGGCGAGCATCCAAGGCCACCGTATCCACATAAAAATAATTGATCCAGTGTTTCAAAAAGAGAAAAGCACAGTTATACATGTTATCAAACATTTACTCCGTAAGTGCTTTTAGAATACACTCTAGTGTGTGTTTATACACCATGTCTCACTAGAAGCTGTACAAATAGTAAATTTAGCAAACCCTTTTTCTATTCACCTAACAGATTATTATTGGTCCCAACTATGCTTTTCTTAAGTTGTATGTAGATATCAAAAACATATGCATGGGGATCCCCACCACAGTGGTGCTTCTGAGGCTTTGTGGAGAGACTGTGGGAATGCTCTGGTGGGAAGAGCAATGGAAGTCTGAGCTCTGGCCTCTCCAAGCATGTGACCATGGGCCAGTCCCTTAGTCTTCTCAGTGGTAGTTTATCCATCCATCAGATGAAGCCTATTCCAGTGGTGACTCAGCTCACCCGGTTCTTTGTGAAGATCAGACTAGATAACAGAGGACAGAGTGATCTCAAATACAAAACTGCTACACAAGTGAAAAACCCCCTCTAAGGCTGCATTACCCTGATTGTGCAGTCAGCCTGAAAGGAATATTAAAAAAGAAAATCACTAGAAATCAGTGAGCCAGTCATACATTGTAAGGTGTTAATGGTTTCTAACTAGTTACCAGTAGACGTCACTTTGGGTCTATCTCAATATGAAGATGCCCCAAATGGTCCTCAACAAGGCACACACAGCCCAAAATAGAGCAGGCAAAACCCGTCTGTCAGAATTCTGTGTTAATTGGAGATAGGCAACTGTCTGATTATTTGTAAGTTTATATCCTAAGCTAATAATTAAAATAAAAACAAAGTGAGCGGTTTACACTCCAACAACGACAAAAAAACTTTTTAACTTTAAAAAGTATATAATTAGGAAAGCGAGGAATTTTAAGGTACCCACATGAACAATGTGGAGTGGGTTTGTTAAACAAGAAACTAAACGCCTTTTTTTACATCTTCTTAAAGGACACTGAAAAAATTTTGAAGCATGACAACTTTGAGAAGTAAGGCTGATTTGGTTCAAGCAACAACAATGGGAAGAAACTTAGTTAAATCTGTGCTCACTTAGTGGCTCCTCTGCCTGGTTCACCAGATTCAAAGACCGCAAAGGAATCGTGGGGGAAGGGTGTGGCTCCAATAAAGAGCCATCTTGTGCTACAAGGAAAGTGACAGGACTTTGAGGCGAGGACAGAGCTGGCCACCAAACCCAAGATCACACACCACTCACTGCTGCCGTTTCGGATCTATTACACTATTCAGGAATTCAGTAAGGCAAGATGGGTTTCCTTATGCTAAAAAAGCTTCTATTAAATTGTGCAAATATATTTATATTAAAGGCTTATTTGACCCCACATTCTGAAAACTTTTATTTATTTTTTTAAAGATTTTATTTATTTATTTGACAGAAAGTGAGAGAGCACAAGCAGGGGGAGCGGCAGGCAGAGGGAAAAGGAGAAACAGGCTCCCCACTGAACAGAGAGCCTGATGCAGGGCTCGATCCCAGGACCCTGGGATCATGACCTGAGCCGAAGGCAGCCGCTTAACCAACTGAGCCACCCAGGCGCCCCTGAAAACTTTTCTTTTAATCAAAATTCTGAACTTCTTCCCACCACTAGAGTTACTGCCTTGTCTTAATTCAATTTAAAGTTGATTTTCTGACTTTGTTAGAAAGTAACTTTTCAATTACTGTGCTAATATCATCAACAACTGTAAATTAGCAAATGTAATTGTTCTGAATGGAAAGAATACATAGTCTTAATTTGGTCAAATAGCTCTGAGTATCCAGTGTTTAATATCTCCCGAAATGGGGCCAAGACTTAAGAGATATGCTATATTCTTTTTTTTTTTAAGATTTTATTTATTTTTTGAGAGAGAAAGAGACACAGTGAGAGAGGGAACACAAGCAGGGGGAGTGGGAGAGGGAGAAGCAGGCTTCCCGCAGAGCAGGGAGCCCGATGCGGGGCTTGATCCCAAGACCCTGGGACCATGACCTGAGCCGAAGGCAGACACTTAACCAACTGAGCCACCCAGGCACCCCTATGTTATATTCTTGGTTAGAGAATCATCAACAGGTTGCATTCAAGTCCTGACAGAGGTATGGGTATTAAAGGCTATTGAAAAATAAAAAAATAAAGCAATACTTGTAGTTACTGTAATAAACTTTTCATACACACTAAGCCATCCCAAAGTTTTATGGTATAATTTATATTGCAACAATAAAATAAAAGGTAATTTAGCAAAACGAAAGTATATTTAAGCAAAATGGTCTGATGTTGTGATTTATAATAAAAAATATGTACTTGGTCTTCAAACTATTTCTGGCACAGAGCTGCTAAAACCCTTGGCATTTCCTAAGTGATCAGAGCAATAAAGATATCTTGATATGCATAACAAGTCCCCTTTCAACCACACTTTAGTTTATGTTAATGAGGAGGCTGCGCAAGCACCTGAGGATGGGGGCTGGATGCCAGGGGAACAATCAGTGTGATGAGAGGGTAGAAGATTTAAGTCCACCTCCCTGACTTTAGAGGGAGGCTCTAGTAGTTGAATCCAGTGATTTTTTTTTTTTTAAGATTTTATTTATTTATCTGACAGAGAGCGAGACAGTGAGAGAGGGAACCCAAGCAGGGGGAGTGGGAGAGGGAGAAGCAGGCTTCCCGCCGGGCAGGGAGCCCGATGCAGGGCTTGACCCCAGGACCCTGGAACCATGACCTGAGCCGAAGGCAGACGCTTAACGACTGAGCCACCCAGGCGCCCCAAATCCAGTGATTTTTTTTAGCAATTGTGCCTATGTAATGGAGCATCCATTAAAAAAAAAAAAAAAAAGACAGGGTTCAGAGGGCTTCCAGTTGGTGAACACATGAAGATTCAATGGGAGTGGTGAGCTCAGAGACCATGGAAGCTCCAAGCCCTTTCCACAGTCCTTGCCTGATGCATCTCTTCCATCTGGCTCTTCCTAAATTATATACTATTATAA